GATCTCGGGAGGGACACTTGTAGATTATTTAAAGAAATAATCCAGGCACAATAACCACTAAAGCTTAGTGTAGTAGTTATGGTGTCAGTAGTGCCAGGATCCCATCCCAGAGTAAGTAGTCAAACCGTTTAAGAACAGTTTGACAACTTACCTGGGGTCTGCTGGGATATAGGGCATAGGAGCAGTGGTATGTGTTAGGGGTGAAAGGTACAATGTGTGTGTGAGTGTGTGTGAGCGGTGAAGTGTGTGCGAGTGTGTGAGGGCGGAAGTGTATGTCAGGGTTGCAGTGTGTGTGTTAGGGGGCAGTGTATGTGTGGGGCAGTGTGTATGTGAGAAAGCTGCAGTGTGTGTGTGTGTGTGTGTGTGAGCAGTGCAGTGTGTATGTGAGGGTGGCAGTGTGTGTGTGAGTTGCAGTGTGTGTGTGTGTTTTGGGCAGTGTGTGTATGGGGGGCAGTGTTTGTGGGACAGTGTGTGTAGTTTGTGTAAGGGGGGCAGTGTTTGTGGGCCAGTGTGTGTGTATGGTGTGTGTGTATGGGGGCAGTGTTGGGGCAGGGTTTGTGGGACAGTATTTGTGGGGCAGTGTGTGTAGTGTGTGTATGGGGGGAAGTGCGTGTATAGGGGGCAGTGCGTGTGTAGTGTGTGTATGGGGGCAGTGTTTGTGGGGCGGTGTGTGTAGTGTGTGTATGGGGGGCAGTGTTTGTGGGGCAGTGTGTGTAGTGTGTGTATGGGGGGCAGTGTTTGTGGGGCAGTGTGTAGTGTGTATATGGGGCAGCGTTTGTGAGGCAGTGTGTGTATGGGGGGCAATGTGTGGATGGGGGACAGTGTGTGTAGTGTGTGTTTGTGGGGCAGAGTGTGTGGTGTGTGTATGGGGGGCAGTGTGTGTATTAGGGGCAGTGTTTGTGGGGCAGTGTGTGTACTGTGAATGAAGGGCAGGGTTTGTATGGGGGAAGGAGGGTAGGGAGGCTTGTTAATTTTTTTTATTTAATAAAATAAATATACTTTATGTCCCCCCTCCCTTCTTACCTTTACTGGGAGGAGGGGGGACATATCTGGATCTCTGGTGGTCCGGTGGGGAATCCCTGGTGGTCCGGTGGTGGGAGTGAACTCCTGGGCAAGACTTCACTCTCGTGAGATTTGGAGCATTGCTGTGGTAACCGCAGCAACGCTCCGTGCTCGCGAGAGTAGGACCCGGAGGAGCTTCAGGTAAGAGCTCCCGGGTCCTCTCTCAATCCCTCCCCTGCCGGCTGCCAGCGATGTGCCTACGGACTGGGGAGTTCTCTGGCATTAGCCGGCAGGGGTGAATCTCGGGGGGGGAGGAGGGGCAATTGCCCCGTTTCCCCCCCCCCTGGATCCACCACTGCAGACACTGGAGGAGCTTGAGCAGCACTGCTCAAAAACACACTTTTAGTGCTGTAAACAGGCGTCCCCCTTACCTGATGGGAAACTCAGCCCTGACCATCTACAAAACATGTGAAATGCACATATAAACATAGCTACTTTCATTTGCTATTGAATATTATTTCGAAAATATATAATTATAGTTTGTATTATTAGCTCTCATTTTCTAAGTAAAAACTGTTACATTGAGTTAAAGTATATCCAATTTAAAAAAATATATATCTGTTCTCACCCAGTAGTTGCCCGAGTAAATGGAAAACTAAGTGACGTTAAACTTGGAAAGAATCCAATAAAACTTGCATAGATTGTATATGACATTTATACCACTCTTCCATTTAGCTCCTTTATAAAATAGGATGTATATCCAATAAAGGAAAACTGACTAGCAATCACAATTACAGAATAAGCCAAATAGGATCTGAGAACCATGGACCTCTCATAACTCTTGTAACACTCCTTTTGTCTGTGATTGCTATCCATCCTCAAGCACACAACCATACCCTTGGTTTTGCTGTGTAAATTTATCACTAGAGACAGACATTGCTTGTTCTTCCAAGCCCCTAAAAATATATCCTCACATTTTGTGCAAAACAGAATATTTAAGGATATAATTACAGTTGTGTACAGTTTGTTGGTTTAAAGAGAAATCTGATTGCTATTATAGGGGTAAGAGGGGGTTCTTTATTTCTCTTTTGATGTATTTTCTTTTGCTTTCTTTCTTTCTTATGTTTCAACCACCTAAAAGGATGTGTCTTAAAGGTTGAACTCAATGGACTTGAGTCTATTTTCAATGACTTGTTAATGGCAATGACTGCTAACCTTGGATCCATTAAGTTTAGTGATGTCCCGAACGGTTCGCGAATGGTTCGCCACGAACGGTTCGCCACGGACTCATCATTGAGTAAACTTTGACCCTGTACCTCACAGTCAGCAGACACATTCCAGCCAATCAGCAGCAGACCCTCCCTCCCAGACCCTCCCACTTCCTGGACAGCTCACTAAGAATGCAGATTCACAATGAATGTAAAATAGATGCTGTCCAGGAGGTGGGAGGGTCTGGGAGGGAGGGTCTGCTGCTGATTGGCTGGAATGTGTCTGCTGACTGTGAGGTACAGGGTCAAAGTTTACTCAACGATGACTCCGTGGTGAACCGTTTGGGACATCACTAATTAAGTTATGCTCCCTGTGTAAAATAAAGACAATAAAAGGCTGCGCACGTAAAATAGAGTCCAATAAAAGGGAAGAAGAGAAAAAAAAGGTCCAACTGGTATATTCTTACAGGTGTCCTTGATTGGTGGGATCTTCTATTTATGTGGTGATTTCACTCGTTTATGAAAAATAAAAAGAGGGAAAAAGGGACATCCAATGGTGTAGTATGTAAAATACAGGTATAGACGTAAAAATAATAGTATAAAACTCACATTTACCAGAGCTAATGTCCAGCTCTGGAGTAAGGCGCGTACAGCGGTTTAATCCCCGCTTGTGGGATATAAAGCAGGTTCCTCACCGTGAATGGTATCCAATTCTCGGGATAAAACAAACAGCCAATAGTGCTCACTGTATAGCAAATAATAATAAAATAATAAAAGAAATGTACTTACAAAGAAAGAGCAGACCCACTGCTCTTTTGTGATGGCTTGGGTGGATTGATCCCCACCTACGGATTTCTTTGGGTACAGGAAACTTCCAGGAATTTTTTTAGGTTTTTTTTTAAAACCATTAAAAATAATTAAAATGATAGTAAAAAGGCCAGGGTAAAATGAAGGATATGTGTCTATAAAAAAGATAATTGGCACAAGCAAATGACCAAAAATACTTTAATATATATAAAAAACACAATATTCAAATGTCCATAACGCGTTTCGTCACAAAAGGGACTTTATCAAATGGATTAACATGATTTACCTGGCACATAGAGATTATATAGGAGCATAATTGATTGAATTTTGGCGCCAAAACTTGGTTCATCCAATCAAAATTAAAAGCAAATTTACAACTTTAAAATACAGAAGTAACTCTTTAGACGCATAATTAGTAGTTATACAACTTAATTAGTTTATGTTTAAATGTAAAACGAGAATGAGAAAGTATAGTTAAAGCTATTTGAAATGGTCACGTGACCGGCGGCACTTCCGGGTTTCGGAAGTGCCGCCGCTAAGCCGCATGGGAAATGTAGTTGAATGCGGCAACCGTTTTGAAAATCATTCTAACGCAATTTACAGGTTCCCTGATTTAGTATAGTGTAGTGGCAAGTAGTGGGAACATAAAACGAAGGGGCTACCCATAAAAAAAACGCACTTAATAGGCGGTCACGTGATTTTCGGTAATAATAGCCGAAATGGATTATGGGAATGGTAGTTCAAATATAACATGTAGGGATACATCAAATAGTAAAACATAACATGATACTTGTCCATTTGATTAAAAGGGACTGATAAAAATTTAAATTAGGAGCATAAAATAAAGCAGATTAACATTATGTATGAAAATAAAAAGACACTTAAAATTTAAAGGAGCAGATTAAATACAAAGAAATATAAAAGAATGTTATTTAAAAACCATAATTAAAGGTACAAACATAAAAGTTCATAAAAAATTATGTAAATCGAAATCTGCATTAAGACCATGGGGTATAAGAGTCTGAAGTTTATACACCCATTCCATCTCTGTTTTTCCAAGTAACTTTTTTATATCACCTCCTCTCCAAGAGGTAGAACATTTTTTTATACCAATACACTTTAATAAACTAGGATCTTTATTGTGCATAATAAAATGTTTGGATACTGTATGATTTAAGTATCCATTTTTAATATTTCTGCAGTGTTCGCTTAATCTTATCTTTAGGCACCTTGTGGTCATCCCCACATATTGGAGGCCACATGGGCATTCAAGCAGATAGATAACATTTTTTGTATGGCAGCTTATAAAGTCATAAATATCATACACTTTTTTAGTTTGGTTTGACATAAATTTTGTAGTTTTAGATGAAAGAACATGATCCACAGTTTTGCATACAATGCATTGTTTGCATCTAAAAAAACCTTTTGTCTGAGGGAAAAATGATACGTTTTTTAAAGGAGATTTTTTTGTGAAATTAGTAGTTAAAATTGATTTAAAATTAGGTGCTCCTCTAAAAACAATGTTTGGATGAGTAGGTATGATAGAATTGAGTATCTCATCGTGTTTAAGTAAGTGCCAGTGTTTTCTTATTATTTTTTTGACATCGTTGCTTTTATTATTAAAATTAAAAATAACTGGAAGTGATATGGTTTCATTATTTTCTTTATTTTTATATATCAAAAGATCTCTTCTTTCTTTTTGTTTGACTGTATTAATTGTGATATTCAGATCTGGTTCTGAGTAATTTTTTTCAATAAATTTATTTTTTTAAAACTCTGCTTGTATATTAAAATCTGTGAGTTCTGAACAATTTCTGCGAAGGCGTAAAAACTGACTTTTCGGGGCACTTTCTAACCACGGCTTATAGTGACAGCTAGACCTGTCAATGGCTGTGTTAACACATACTTTTTTAAAATAAGTTTTTGTTTGGAGTTGCCCATTATTAATAAAAATATTTAAATCTAAAAAATTAATAGATTGTTTGCTGAATTCGTATGTAAGAATGATGCCCTTATTATTATTATTTAAATAATTAATAAAATCAATAAGATGTTTTTCAGGTCCATCCCAAATAAAAAAAAGGTCATCTATATATCTAAAATAGGAGACTAGGTTTGCCCGCCACACATGATTGCCCCATATGGCTTCGTTTTCCCAGTCAGCCATAAACAAATTGGCATAACTAGGGGCAAACCTAGTCCCCATAGCAGTGCCTCTTCTTTGTAAATAAAAAGAGTCTAAAAACCAGAAATAGTTATTTTTTAAAATAATGTTAATACCTTCTATTATAAAATCTATTTGAATATCGGGGATCCTAGCTTCTTGAGTTAAAATTTCTTTAACCCCTT